AACCTTATCCTTATGGAAGTCTGTGTTAGAAGGGACACCTTAAACGCTCCAAGATCACCTACCCTTCTGGCAAACAACTGCAGAGACCGACTGCTTCTGTGCAAAGAAGGGTGGACCTCCCTATTCCTGTTTTTTGATATAGTGTACTGTAGTCATGTTAGATGTGACTTGACAATGCAGGGTATGGATGAGTGGCAGGAATTTTTTTTAGGCCTCATGCACTGCCCACAGTGTCAGGGGTTGATGTTTAGCTTGGATTCTTCCTGGGTACAAGAGCCTGGAGCTGCATGTTTATCCAAGTGAGCTCTCTAACCCCATTCAGAGGCATCTGTAGTTTTCTTCATGGGTGGGGAGGGGATGAAGGGAACCCCCCAGGTACACAGCCTCTATTTTTCAACCAGTATAATGACAAAACTCTGTGGGGTTGGAGTTGTAAAAACTTGCTTGTCCAAGCTGTGTTTGCTTGGACTAAGAAAGAAAGAGAAAAAAAAAGCCTGCCATTGCTAACCCAATGAAAATAACTTAGGCACCAATCCTATACTGGGCTTTGTTATCATGGACCCTCCCTTACACCTATGCAGAGTCCCAATGACACCAAGAGGACTCCATAAAGACATAAATTGCTCCACTAGGAGACCGTGATGCAGGATCTTTGCACTAATTCAATAAAATAACATGAACCAGTCAATATGTTAAAAAGATGGGTCCGAGCTACAGTTTGGATCCAGATTCAGCTTCGGAACTGCACTTCCTCAAAGGCTAAAGTTTGGAACTAGATCAAAAGTTCAGGGGGCTTGGATCCAGGTTTTGGTTCAGGACCATCTCTACTTAAAAATCTTCCACCTAGAGAAAAGATAGAAATATAATTACTGGGAAGGTTTACCTGCTTTAAGTAGTTCTCTTCTTTCAGACTGGACATACAGCTTGTCCTGAATTTGATTCAAGAGTTTCTTTTGTAAAGTTTTGGCTTCTTTTGGCAGGTCAGAAAATGCCGTCAGCTTAGTAACATATTGCTGTTGAGGATATGATGCTATCTGGGTTAACTGGGTGTAATCAGCATTTTCAATGCCTATGGTGAATACAGTCACACCAGCTCTCCGAAGATCATGAGCTGCCTCACTTACGTTGTCTTCAGAGGGTCGGTGGGTGATCAGAATGGCTATTTGCTCTATCCCTTGGGCCTTTCTGCTTCCAGAGAAGACTCTTTGCCTTGTAGCCTTAATGGCAGCACCGGTGTTGGCCTTCCCTTCCCTTGGAGAAAAGCCCTGTACTTTCTGCAGAATAGCAGTTTTGTTTGTTTCTTCGCTCAATAAAGATAACACATGTGACTCACTGCTGTATGTCACTAGGCCAACCTTTATACAATTCTTCCTCACATCAAGAAAGGAAACTGTATCTTGCAGGAACTTTTTAATATCTTCAGCATTTGGTTTTGAAACACCCTCATCTACTATGAACACAACATCAGCAACGGAATCACTCTTACAAACTGCAGTGGGAAGAGAGAGGAAAAGAACACAATATTAATTGTCTATTTCTTGGCCAATCCATGGAACACTCTTCTAAAATAGTTTCCCCCATTCAGATTTATCTAGAAACACAGGAATTGCCATACTGAATCAAATTAGCAGCCTACCTAACTCCAGCATCCTGTCTCCAGCAGTGGTCAATACCAGCCACGTCAGAGGAAGCCCAAAGGAAAATGCCCATTAATTAGTTGTTTCAGGGCATAAACCAACAACAAGAGCTATTTTCTCTTGAAAATTACAAACTCTGCAAGAATAGTTACAGCTTCACTCCACCCACTCTCCATTCACTTTTGTGGAGTCCGGAGTTAGTCATGCATAAAGTCATGAACAGATAGGCACTGGTTTTCAAAATGTCAGGATTACATGCCTCTCTGTGTACACAGGTACCTGGTCATGGACATGTCTGTTCTCTTCCTTACTTTAAAATATGCATGTCATTTAATATTTTGAAAATTTAGCCCAAAATGTTCAAGGTGTCTTTCTTTCTAACACTGAATTACTTCTTCCAACCAATAAGATCACAATTTTTTCCTAGCCTTGCATTCCTTACCTTCTCTCTCAGAAGCACTTGCAATTATATCTGTTTGAATAATGTCCTCAATGATCTTGGTCAGGTTTTGAGAAGACATACTGAGATCCCTCACTGTGCGAAACTTATAAGAAAATTGAGATGTAGCCATTGACTGCAATTCTTGAGGAGAAACATCCTGAATCCCCATGGCTATGATTTTTACCCCGTCACTTTTCAAGATCTTGGCAGGCTCTTCTACAGCATCCTCTGATGCCCCTGAAGTCAAGACTACCAGAATTCGTTCTTTGTCTCTTCCACTAGCTGGTCCTTTGAAAAAGGTCTTGTGAACTTCTCGAAGGGCATTGCCAGTTTTTACTGAACCACCCTTGAATACAACATTTTTTTTTACATAATTCAGCATTGAGTTCTTTGCTTTATAGGTGTCCAGCAGAAATTCAACGTGCAAATCATCACTGTACTGGGCAAGCGCGATACGGTATTGGTTAGGAGTCGCTGTTAAATGACTGATCATTTTGCTAATAAAAGACTTCATAGAGGGGAATGCCTTGTTTCCCAGGCTATTAGAGCTGTCAACCAAAAGGACAATATCTGCAGATGTAGGGGCTGCAAAAATCAGAAAGTTAAATGTTATTACATATTTCTTACCCTTTATCTCTACAATACTCTGATGATACAAGCAATGCTTCACCGAAGAATTTATCCAGAGATATCCAGAAATAAAATGTCCAAAAGCTGAAAAATATCCTTCTAAGCCCAAGAATTCTCTCTTATATTTTAAGCTTATTTTATTATCATGAAAGATTACAAAGATAGGAAATTACAGGTGCTCAGCATCTGTTTGGTCCCTAGGACTTCCCAGGAGATGTAGCTATTCAGTGCTTCTCAGGATTGGATGCCTGCTTCCTTTTTGAGGTTTAAATATTTTTTTTTAATTTCTACTGAATAGGACACACATTATCTAGAGTTTCCAGTTAGAGAAATATCTCTAAGTGCTAACTTCTTTCACATGTTTGTGACTATGGGGTGGTGACTACAGGCACAATGCACAATGCACTCTGGTTTATTTTTGCTAACATTCAGTTCAGCACATGGCACAGTGTAGTTCACCCTTAGTGTGGAGGATCCATGCAAAGTCCCCTGAACCACTTAGACTCAGGAATTACAAGGAATTGTGCATTGCAAAAAGAATCTCCATACTAACTCTACTGCAGAGGGCTGGGATGGAGGTGGAACCCGAAATCCACATTTAGGCAGATCTTTATCCTTTGGCCCCAACTCCCAGTGCTAGTAGCTAAGAAGAGCTGAGACAACTACTTATGACTACCTCTTATGGAGGAGTCAAGGTATTGGGGTGAGAGAAGAGGAGCTGCAGTTTTACATGCTTACTCCAGTTTGGATGGGGGGAAATGTCACCTTCTCCTCTCATCCCTTTACTCTTCACTGGCACGGTCATATTTTACCTTAACACAGTAGATCTCAAGGGTATGTCAGTGATCCAGACGGCCTTAAGTGATTAACAGAAGGGTTAAAATAAAGCACCCTTCCTCCTACTTTAATTTACACCTACACCACAGTAGAGGACATCTGTCACACTCCTGAGAATGAATATTCTCTCCCATATGGAATCCTATGGCAACTGTGGACTAAGTGTGCAACCCTCTTCAGAGTCTCATTGTGTTGTATGCCACAAAGTGGCAAAAGTTGCTTTTTCTTTCTGCCTTGATTCCTCTGTGCTTAGTTACCTGCCTGTCACAAGTGCTGGTTGCCTCCAGCAAGTTGCTAATCATCCTTAACCTCCACTGAAGTCAATAGGAGTTGAAAGCCCTCAGTTTTTCTCAGAAGAACTTGCAGCTTTGGGCCTCACTTTCCTCCTGAGCAACTTTCCTATTGACAACTTCTCTAAATTGTGCAACACGCCTACCCTATCAGTCACATTGATCTGGCCCCTTCCACGGCCAAATTCTGCCCTAACTTACACCACATACAATGCCACAATTTAGCTCTCACTGTGCCTGGGATTTATACCAAGGACCCAGTTCTGCAGAATTTACATATAGAATCCCAGTGACCCCCACAGAACTCATGTGAGTAGGGAGCAGGACTGGATCCCCCTTTTGCACACGCTGAGTAATTAAATCCCAGGTACCCACTTGAAAATAACTAAATTCCATGAGTGGCCTTCATTTATACACTATCTGCATTTTCACCTCTGAATTTGGCCCTAATCTATATAAATCTGTCAAGGTTTACGATAACACTGATCAACCTAATATGTAAATCTAATGTCCATCTCCATTATCCAAACACAGTTTCAATCTATTATACAAAGTCTCATAAGGTATAGAGATCCTGACTCAAGAGTCTCAGGCGTCACCTCAATTTTTATTGGGAAAACTGGGGACTAAATATTGCATTTAAAAAAAAAATCAAATCACATAATACAACAGAATACAAAGGATACTGAAATACCAGGTGTCTGAGTTACTGAAGTTTGACTCCCAATAAGGAAGAAGAACAAAGTCAGCAGCATCTTCATATTATGAATGAACGTTCCAAGCTTTAATTCTGGAAAAAATAAAATAAAAATCCCATATATCAAGTATCACAAGGACCCTGGAACATGACTGCATAATGCACTAGTATAAGGAAACTTATAGGGTTGGAAAAGATGTAGTCCAATCCCAATATGCTGTTATAAGAACCTAAAGTGCTATAGATAACAGGAAAACGTAAAGGATACATTGTCTTCTTCTTTATCTATGTGTAACACGGCATGTACTCACCGCCGCGGCGCCTCCTGCTGGTTACCTTGGGAATTAGCTCATCCCAGCGTCGGAGCACCTCCTGCTGTCGCTTTTTGTCTTTTTATTATCAATCTCCACCACTGTAATTCAGGCGCTGCGTCCCTCCCAGCCCGTAGTGTCCATTCTCCTGGGTACTGCCCCTCAGCAGTGCCCACACACTCGGGGTCCTCCCCTCCCCAGGGAACCCCAATCCCCTAAGCCCACCTCACCTCAATGACCCACTGCCAGTCTTCATCTAGCCCCATCCCTCAGGGGCAAACTGCAGTCTGAAGTGGCCACTCATCATCAGCCAGGGGGTTGGACCTGCTGCCTCTTCCTTCCCTGGCTGCCTCCCCACAGCCCTAATACCTCCTCCGGCCCGGACAGCAAGGCCTCTGCCTGGGGGTTTGCCAGGCTGGAGCTCCCCCAGCTCCTCTTCCTGCCTTTCCCCAGCACTGCACTGTCCAAGGTACCCTTTTCGCTATCCAGCCACCAAATCCATCTCTCTCCAAGGCTGGAGCCCTTTTATAGGGCTCAGGGTGGCCCTGATTGGCTGCCTCCCAGCCTTTTCCTGATTGGCTCCCAGTCCCAGCCCTCTCCAAGGGTTTGCATTTAACCCTTTCTGAATCAGAGCAGGGTGACTGCCCCACTACACCATAAAAGCAGACATTAATTATTGTAATCTCACCTGTGTGGCACTGATGCCTCCAACCTTCCCACTTCATAGCTATTTAAAATGTTTCCAAGGTGATTTTGATGACATCATTTCCCCTTTGTACCCCTCCACTGGATTCCCCTTCTCCACTGAATCAGCGGCCCCTTACCCTTTCAAATCTAGTTTCTTATTATGGCCCTGACCCTCACCTTCGCTCTGCCAGTGACACCCTTGAGCATTCATTTATCTGCTTGTCAGAGAAGTGCCTTCCTGCTTTTTCCCATGCCACCCCATGTGCTGAGGAAGAACCTTCTGACAACATTCACAAGCCGTCACCTTATTCTCACTGAGATTCCTCCTTGAAACCTATTTTTAAAAGATACAAGCCTACAAACCATTGCCATCTGGGACTGATTAGGCTGGGAGCCAGCTGTTACTGAGACCACGCTGAGTTATGCAAATGTGCCTGGCTTAGGGTTGCCAGGCATCTGGTTTTCGACTGGAACACCTGGTTGAAAGGGGACCCTGGCTGCTCCGGTCAGCGTAATAGTCCAGTCGGCAGTGCAGCAGGACTAAGGCAGGCTCCCTGCCTGACCTGGCTCTGCGCAGCTCCTGGAAGTGGCCGGCATGTCCCGGCGGCCGCTCGGCGCAGGGTTGGATCAGGGAAGCTGCGCTTGCTGCCCCCACCTCGAGCACTGACTCCGCAGCTCCCATTCTTCCTGGCTCTACTGTTAGTTTTTCCTTCTCTCACTGCCCCTCCCATTTGTCAGTTTATTCGCCTGTCCGTACTTTCTAACTGCTACATTGCAACCTCTCTGGGGTAGGGACAGTGCCTAGTACAATGGGGCCCTAACCCTTGATGAGGGTCATTAGGAAATACTGCTGTGTTCTTCAATCAGTGGCCTGCCTGGGGCCAGATCTGGCTCACGAGGGCCTTCCCGCTGGCCCACTGGGCATCAGCTGTTCCATCCTGCTCCCTGCTGGGAGCTCTACTGTAAGGACGCCCCCACTACCTGGCTCCAGCTCTGCCCTGGGCAGCAGGCTCCCAGCAGCTCCAGCCGCTGCCCAGTCCAGCTGCAGCCTCCCCATGCTGACCTGCCTCCCAGTGCCCTGCCCGAGCCCAGCACCCGCTGGTTTGGAGGACACTCTGCAGCATGAAAGGGGCCGCTTGGCCGGGGAATGCAAGGGCCAGAGCTGCTGGAAGCCTGGGGCGCGCTTGAGCCAGGTTGTGGAGCTTCCTTTGCAGAGCCACCAGTGGGGAGCAGGAAGGAACAGCTGGTGCCCAGTGGGCCAAACAGAAGACCCTCGTTCATGGCTTTGGCCCCTTTCCCTCCCCTGCTCCAGAGCATCCTCTGAGCCAGCAAGTGCCAGGCCCTGGTGGAGGAGACCGGGGGCGCTCAGAGATGGCTCAGCACAGGCAGCCAGGGCCAAGCAAGGGAGCATGGGGGTTGGAGCTCCCAGGAGCACAGGGTAGACTCAGAGTCAGAGATGAGTCACGGGGCCAACCTTGCAGCAGAGCCCCCAGCTGGGAGCAGGAGCTGGGCACAGGCAGGAGGAGGCAGGGACAAGACAGGCTCTGGGGGGTGTCATATCCTGCTTCCCTGGGCATCTACTGCCCCCATCTTCCTCCCAGCTCTCCTCACTCAAGGAGTACTAAGTAGGCTCCTGTCTCCTGCAACTACTCCCTGTCTCTCTCCCCCCCACCCTAGGGAACTGAAAATCCTAATGACCTGAATGAGCATGGGAGGCACACCGCTGATTCAGATCATCAGGATTTTGGGTTATTTGAGTGAGTATCAAACATTTCCACTTCGACTGTGTACAGAACTTCGACTCCAAACGCAGTCTGTCATCATGGTCAGTGACTGAATGAAATTTCACTGTGAAACTACAGCTAAAAATAGCATTTCCCTTAATCCCAATGCCCAAAGGTATCAGACATTCCCCAAGACATTTGGATAAATGGACTTCACCTGTATTTCATTTAGAATCTTTTTCATTTACATTTTAACACACTGGAGCTACGCTGTGTTGATACATTTCAATTTAAGTGGGTACACTTTCAATCAGGCGCTTAATCAGGTGCCTGTGCAACATAAAGCATAAGAACATAAGAATGGCCCCACTGGGTCAGACCAAAGGTCCATCTAGCCCAGTATCCTGTCTTCCGACAGTGGCCAGTGTCAGGTGCCCCAGAGGGAATGAACAGAACAGGTAATCATCAAGTGATCCATCCCCACTCGCTCATTCCCAGCTTCTAGCAAACAGAGCCTAGGGACACCATTCCTGCCCATCCTGGTTAATAGCCATTGCTGGACCTATCCTCCATGAATATCTAGTTCTTTTTTGAACCCTGTTATGGTCTTGGCCTTCACAACATCCTCTGGCAAGGAGTTCCACATGTTGATTGTGTGCTGTATGAAGAAATACTTCCTTTTATTTGTTTTCAACCTGCTGCCTATTAACTTTATTTGGTGACCCCTAGTTCTTTTGTTATGAGAAGTAGTAAACAAAACCTCCTTATCTACACCAGTCATAATTTTATAGACCTCAATCATATCTCCCCTTTGCCGTCTCTTTTGCAACCTGAAAAGTCCCAGTCTTGTTAATCTCTCCTCATACGGAATCGGTAATTGCTGTGCTTTTACTAGAGAGCAAACCCTGAAGAGCCCTTTAGCCATAGAGAAAACCTGTTGGCCTGCCAAGATTTGGACATTGCCTTATAACGTAATGGAATACCACTGTAATACTAAAGATCACTACAAATAATAATGACTATTATTGCATATCAGGCGCTCTGCAATGAATGCTACCACTGTCCCTTCCAACTACATATTTCTCTGCATTTCAGGTTTAATATAAAGAAACTTCTAAGAGTTCATGTTTTACGGGTGTTTTTATGTGCCCCTTGTGTATAGCTATTAGAACATAATATTTAAACAAATAAAAAACAGCTAAACGAGAATAAGGATTTAGAGTGGTAGCTGTACAATGAAATGGCTCTCTGCATGCCATTGTGACACAAGACCTAGATGTACTTTGCTGAGGGATGTTAGGCCTGAGAGCCCTCAGAGCCTCTTACGCTTTTTACAGACACTCAATAAACCCTTCTGTTTTACACTGGCTGAGAGTCTCTGCAGTCTAGAGATCAGGGTTGCATTATTCCCTCTGGATGTGGAGGCCCCGGGGTCCAGAGCGAGTGGACTCCCTGACGGGGCCAACGGCGAGAGAGAGGTGTGCTGAAGGCTCAGAGAGGTGCAGTCCCAGGAGGTGGTGGAGCCTACAGCTTAATCTAGGGTGACCAGACAGCAAGTGTGAAAAATCAGAACAGGGAGAGGGGGGCGGGAAATAGGCACCTATAGAAGAAAAAGCCCCAAATATCAGGATTATCCCTATAAAATAGGGACATATGGTCACCCTAGCTTAACCCCCGAGAGAGAGTGGACTCCTGAGGACTAACACTGAAGATGGTTCCTCCCAGGGACTGTTCGGAGCCGAGAGAGCACAGGTCCTGTGAGTCCGTAACAACTTGTTGCTGAGTGACTTGTCTATGGAAGTACTAACTTCTGTGTCATGATATTTACTTGTAGGTATGTTATTTGGCCACTAGATGTCTCTGTGCTATACTGAAATTCCCAGCAAGGGTGCAGTCTCTGGTCCCACAACAGATGGAAGCCAACTTGTTTTGTTTGTAGCTTATTCCTGTATTAATCAATGTTTCCTTTGTAAGGGCTGTGGCTACACTTACTATGACAATCTCCACATACGTCCAAATCCTGGACCCACTGCACAGTTGGGAGTAAATGGACTACACTCTAGAGGAAGCATATGGGAGATGGAATCCTCTGCCCAGATCATAGATTGGTTATGAACCACTTTGCAGCAACTACCACAGACTAAAAGCTACATCACCTGTACACAGAGGTGAAAGTAAGCCGGGTACGGTCCAGTACGGCATACCGGCAAGAGCCAGTACGCTGTGCCGGACCGCACCGGCTTCCGCGGCGGGGATTTAAAGGGCTCTGGGCTCCCCGCACCAGCGGGGAGCCCAGAGCCCTTTAAATCCCATCCGCAGCTCAGCAGCCGGGCTGGGGCCCGGATTTAAAGGGCCCGGAGCTCCGCGGCAG